GTTTCCTCCCTCATTCAGTAAGGGGCCCACACTTTCCTTGGCTTTCTTCTTGTTGCCAACATACCTGAAAAAACCCTTCTTGTTACTCTTAACATCTCTCGCTAGCTGCAGCTCCAGGTGCGATTTGGCCCTCCTGATTTCATTCCTACATGCATGAGCAATATTTTTATACTCTTCCCTGGTCATATGTCCAACACTCCCAAATGTGTGTTGGAATTCCTTGCCTTTTTAGGATGGATTTCTCTCTAGATATTGCTAGACCACCATTGCCAGCGGCTTAAAGACATTTCTGAATATATGGTTTTGCCTTTGAAATGTACCAGATAATACCAAAATCCATGTTCCTTAGGGAAACCAGCTGGATTCTTCCAAAAAAAAATCTTTATTCCTTAAACCCCTACCTTCCCCTCCAATCTAAATCAAATCAGTATTTTGTAGGTTCTTCCAATTATATTGGAGAATGTAATGATTCTTTCTTCCTGCCAGCATATCCATGAATTCTTCTTGCCTCAGTTTAGCTCCTGCGGTGATAGCGCTTATTAGCACATTGAAAGCTGATGGCCTCAGTCACCAAAACTCCAGAACTGTTTGGAGCTTCCTTTCTTACAGATCCCTCATAAGTAAGGAATCTGGAAGTACTTTGGAGAAGGAACTAGGATAAAGAACAGGGTAAGGAAGGGGAAGAGGATAGTGACCCCAGGTTAGGAAGGCAAGGGAAGGGAATGGAGATGATGATGAAGAGGAAGGGACCAGGCAAAGTGGTTAAGAAGCCATTGGCAACCAATGTATTGAAGAGGAATTTCAATCTAGTGATATTCTGAAGTAAGCTAAGAAACTGGTTCCTTAACCAGACCTTAGGAATTGGCCTCCTATGCCTAGTCATTTTGTAGGGTTTGTTGACCTAAGAAAATTAACACTGTTTCCTCAAGGATTTGGGAAAGGAACAGATTATTTATGTTAAACCCTACAACTCATAAGAGAAAAGAAAAGGAGTACTTGTGGCACCTTAGAGACTAACCAATTTATTTGAGCATGAGCTGTAGCTCACGAAAGCTCATGCTCAAATAAATTGGTTAGTTTCTAAGGTGCCACAAGTACTCCTTTTCTTTTTGCGAATACAGACTAACACGGCTGTTACTCTGAAACCTGTCATAAGAGAAAATATATGGAAATTATAAGAGTAATGAATAATGTCTGAATTCTCACACAGACTAATGCTACAAAATCTGTCATTTCTCAACAGCTGTTTATAAAAGCAATAAAAGCTTTTGGAGCTGATAAAACAGACAGTCTAATGGTTGAATTAGATTTATCTTTCTTAGAAAATGTTTTACTTGTGTGATAGTATAAAGTGGTTATCACTTAAGGCAGAACCAATAAGTCAGTAAATCAGTTTACCCAAAGTAGCCTAATAAATGATATGAATAATAAATTAATTTGATTTCTAATTTGTCTTTCTAAAAGATGACAAATACAGTCTTAATGATGGAGTACAACATGTCCATATATGGAATAGTCTATGCATTTAATTTTAAAAGAATGAATGATTATATGTAGAATGTAAAATAGCAGTTAGTTTCTCAGTACTCTGTTCTTTTTTGGAAAGAAAATTGTGGCAATGGAAATTGCACATTAACATTTTTTTTCCAAAAGAAAACAAGATGGAATGCTGAGAAATGCTGTTTTACAATCTTCTTTTATCAGTTGCAGTAAGTCTGAATGGCCATTGTAATGGCCATGGCAAAATACTCAGCATCTCTCAGGGTCAGGCCCTACATTCTAAAGTAGATAGATTACTTCACTAATATTAAAGCTGCTTTTTTTGTAGTAAGAACCCAAAGGAATTCAGGTAATTGACCATTACAACATTAGATTGTTTTAACACAAAACATCGGACCTAAATGTCTGCATTTTCAAAAAGGACCAGTGATTTTGGGTGCCTCTCCTTTTTAGTGTACAGTTTGAAATACTTTAAAGCTGAAATTTTCACCTGATATTCAGAGAACTGATACTCAGCACTTCTGGAATTAAGGACCGTTAAAGTGTGTGAAGTTGGGCTGCAGAATTATCAGTCACTGTTGAAAACTCTAGGCCAGATTAGTTGACTATTAACCTGATCCATGCTAAATATCACACTCAATCCCGTTGCTTTTCCTTACATTCTGTCCTCTTTCCTAGTTTTGTATATTGCCTATTTAGATTTTTAACCTTTCAAGGCAAGGACCCTACCTTTTTACCAGTTTGTAAAGTTCCACCCATGGTTTTAGCAATATACAAATAAGAAATTACAAGATAGAATTTCTCACATAAGTAATTTCAAACAATTTTCTTCATAGTACTGATTTAAATCCTTAATGTTTTACCTTGACTTTATGCTATGAAGGTGAGATTCTCAGAATAGTAGACAGACTTGTGCTAACTCTAGTCAAGCTAGAGTGTTAAGAATAGCAGCGTGGATGTTACAGCACCTTGGACCCTGGGGATCAGATGAGTTTGGACTTGGGTGGCTAGTCCAAGCCAACATCTGTGCCACAATTTCCATTCTGCTAATTTTAGTGTGCTAGTTTGAACACAGCGAATACAAGACTGTTCACTTGCTCCCACCTCCCAGCTGCAATGTAGAGACAAACCCATGGATCCAATTGCAGTATCTGGCTCTTGGAGGACTCTAGTGGGAATGGAAAGGAAAAAATCATGTAGCCTGAACAGTTCTTATACTTGTAAGGTTAAGTATTGGGTGCAACATGCACTTGTCACAGATAACAGGTTCTTTCTTAAGCGGCTACTTAAGAGTTAATTGAAAAGATGGAATTTGGTGAAACACACAGAAGCTTTGTTTAATACAGACAACTGTAACTGAAATCATAGGCAAGAATCAATATACAAAACTGTTAGAAAAAGATGACATTAAAGTGGTTTCCTGTGTTCCTTCTTACAATCTTACATCATGCATACTTACAATTTATGGAGACCATTGCAAACAGATGGAAGGGAAAGTAAGTGGAGGCCATCGCAAGAGAGGTCCTGATTAAGTTTACATGTCTCAGGGACCCAGTGAGCATGAAGAAATGGGAACTGGTTGTGGTACTTTATGCCCTTCCTTATGGTAATAGTACGAATATATACCAAATGTGATCCTTTACACTGATTATAATAGGGTCAATAGCTGCCCCTATCCATGTGGCCTTTGGGGTGTCCATGATTATGTATCAAGCACTAATATGCATGATTTACATAACTTATTTCTTAATAATTCCTTTATGTACATGTGGTCTAACTGCTTAGATACTGCATAGCAACCTAATAGCTAAAGCCCCACAAAACTCCCTTCTTGTGGAATCTTGTGGTGTACGCTACTTGTTCAAGGTAACTCACTTGTCTCCCAAATTGAGAGTGCAAAAATATATGACCTGGAGTTCTCTCCTTAGGACTACACTGTTCTACTAAATCCCAGCTTTTAACATAACTACTCCAACAAAGCCTTAATCTAATATACCAGGCCTTTACTGCAGCAACCTTAATGACCCATTTACTTATTTCACCTATTTGCCCCCCTTGCATATTCCAAGCTAAAAAGCAATATATCCCTATCAATCTTATATTCTAATGTCATTTTAGCTCTCAAGCATAAAATCATCCATGAGGGAGAGTCATAGGTCATAAGATTAGGTCAGAGGTCAACAATCAAAAGGTTCAGAGAGGTTTGCCCATCACTAAGCCTTCAGTAGGCCAGTAAGGTAACATGTTTTACCAAGTCAAGATCACCTCTCTCACCATTACATGCTGCCACAGTTGACTTGGCAGAGGCATTCTAGCTGAAGCTTTGTGAGGGGTCCCGAGTTTTGGAATTTGCTTCTCCCCTTTGGTCCGCCAGAGCCCAGATTTGTTAACCTTCTGGGCGTGCCATAGAGTCCATCTTTTTTCTTACTTCTTGAGGAAGGCATGGGTTGAGATAGCTACATTTATGTGTGATACTTTGTTAATATTCATGTTGTGATTTTTAATTCATGGAATAGATACCCAAAGTACTGGATGGGAACCTACTGTAATAGTCTAAGAAATCAGATAAATAGAATATGTATGCCTTAGGTTTTGTGAATGATTTCTGGCAAACTAACTTATGCAATTTAGTGTAAGTTCCAAAATATGCAAATATATCAAGTTCTACAGCAAAACTCAAGAATGTGTGTTGGCATTAACATGTATTACTTTTCTGATTGTACTCCCTTCAGTGATTCATGTCAATCACATTTTCATCAATAACATTTTGTTGGCATAAAAAGCCAGGTCACTGCAAATTCAAATGTCACATCAATGAAAGAAAAGAAAAAAGGGCTTATAAATTCATAGATATTAAGGTCAGAAGGGACCATTATGGTCATCTAGTCTGACCTCCTGCACAATGCAGGCCACCAAATCTCACCTACGCACTCCTGCAATAAACCTTACCTTTGTCTGAGCTATTGAAGTCCTCAAATCATGGTTTAAAGACTTCAAGGTGCAGAGAATCCTCCAGCAAGTGACCCGTGCCCCATGCTGCAGAGGAAGGTGAAAAACCCCCAGGGCCTCTTCCAGTCTGCCCTGCAGGAAAGTTCCTTCCCAACCCTAAATATGGTGATCAGCTGAGCCCCCAGCATGTGGGCAAGATTCACCAGCCAGGTACCCAGGAAAGAATTCTTCTAGAATCAACTGTATATAGTGCTCACATGTTTATTCCAACTCAGTCCAAATCCTCCTCTATTTATAAACCCATTGAAGTCACTGGGGCTAGTTTTGTGAGGAGTTTAGGATCTGACCCCTACACGGTTAATGTCTATGGTTATTCTTCAGCAGGTTCATTCATGTGCGAAGATATGTATAGTCTATGACAATTGGCTACCAGGGAACAAGACAGTAGAGAGGTATGAAGGCAGGTGATTATTAAAAAATAGGAAAGGAAAATAATTTGCTGTATCATAGTAATTGATTTCTTTAAGTTGGGTGTTTGTTTGTTTTTTCAGGTTCAATTGAAAACGAGCATTTCAAGTCAATATGTAATTCGTACCCAGCCAACAAACACCTGCCTTTCTACACTTGAATGTGCAGCTATTGCCCTTGCCATCATGGAAAAAAATGATGGTATTCAGGAGGTATGTAATTAATTTTAAATGGAACTGTAGTGTGAAGCCAAGTTAGTTAGATAATAGTACCATATTTGTCTTGAGCACCTTACACATTCGTTACCCAAAGACCTGAATAAGATCATGGGATGCTGCTGGTTGGTTCACCTCAGAGACTAAGCAGAGGTAAGCAAGCAGCTGTCTGCTGCTATTGTTCTGTTCCTTCCTTGCAGATCATATGCAGGTTTTACTAACAGACACTTGCATACTCATTACTGCAGCTGTCTACTGTGGACTTCCACAAGGCTTCATTCTCTCCCTCCTCTTACAGGGCATCCCTGTCAAACACCATGTCTTAAATGCTAACAGTTTGTCCATGATACTTACATTCTTTGCACTGAACGCAAACTACACTATTTTCCAGTTACCACCATAACTAATTAGATTAGCTCCTTCACAATGTGGAGTTGGCTGAAGATAAACCTGGGCAAGACTTTTGGAAGGAAGTGGTGGGCAGAGGGAAATGTTTCAAAGTACCAGCTAGTGTCTTATCATCAAGAAGGTATCTTTCTGAATCATTCTTCTCTCTCTCTGTGTGGGGTAACAGATTGACCTAACACAAGCTTAATTATTATGAGCGCAGCCCTTATGAACACACCCTCCCTCACATCTACTCTTTTTGACTTTCACTTTTCTGCAGTCTTCTTGTTTTTGTACCAAACCCATCATCATGGTATCTCCCCTAAATTCAAACTAACTGGCCTCACTCTCTTCTCTATCAGTCCTTTCTATTTTATTTTTTTTCCTTGCCCTCTTCTCATTCATCTTGCTGTCCTCTTGTGTACTCCTCACTCAGTCTGTCCTCTTATTCTCATCAGCTCCTTATCCCTCTCCTCCTCATTCCCCTTACATTCACTTTCTCATCCCATACTTCTGTTTCTCACTCCTTTTTTCCTCCCTCTTTTGAGACAAGATGAGAAGACTAAATCTACATCTGTCTCTCCATCACTTGATCTTATATCTGTCTGTAAGGTACTCATACACTTCAGTTTTGAGTATAAAACAAATACCAATAGATAAGAGTTCAGAATTTGGCTCAAAATTAAGAAATAGAAAATGTATTGCATTTTTAAATAGTGTGGCAAACAGAACATGTGATGGAGAAGTGCATTCATTTCTAACTCACTTGGCATTCCCAATTGCAATACTTCAATATCCCCCTGTAACCAGACATGGACTCACCCAGCATCGCCTCCTGCTGGTCATCCTTGGGAATAGCTCACTACCCTCCAGAACACCCTGTGCAGTCTGGCAATTCGCCTGTCACTGCTCCTCCCCTCCCCATGTCCCTTATGGACCCAGTGCCCTTTTGTCTGGGGTGCTACCCCTCTGGCAGTAATCCCTCAGTCTCAGGGTCTCCCCACCCAGGGGAACCCCCTACCCACTATCCCCACTTCACCTCAGTCTTGGCTACTGCCAGTCCTCGTTTAGCCCCACTCCCTGGGCAGACTGCAGTGTATTAGCCACTCATCACAGGCAAAGGGGTTTGGACCTGCTGCCCCTGCAACCTCAGTACTTATCTGGCCTTACTCCTGGCCTGCAGCCTGGGGAGTTTCCAGGCCAGAGCTCCCCAGCCCCACTCCACCTCAAGTACTCACTCAAACTCCCCAGCAGTCAGGCCCTTTTCCCTCTAAAGGCAAAGAGAATGTTACTACTCCTGGCTTCCCTGGCCTTCTTATACAGGCCAGCTGCAGCCTGATTGGGGCGTGGCCCAGCTGTGGCTACTTCCCCAATTAGCCCAGCTTGTAGCCCACAGCCCCAGCCCTCTTCAAGGGCTGGCTTTTCAGCCCTTCAGGCAGGAGCAAGGTGACTATCTAGCTATACTCCCCTAAATAGCATCTGTAGTATGCTAAATGACACTAATATAGCATGTTGTATTGAATCTTTGTAAATACTTTTCTTCAGATACTTCTTAATTCTGTAATTTATCAAAAACTACTAGGTACTAAGTACTGGGTTAAGCTGCCAGGAAGGTAACAATTCATTGCGCTAATGTTTTTCATGTGTAGAATTTACATATTTATTCTGTCTCACCCATGCTGTTTTCAGTCTAGAAGATTAAGATTTGATATTTTGTAGCAAATGAAAATGCTAGTAAAATTTGCAGAGATTTCACCCTTTTATCTAATTTTCATAGATCCAAAAAATTTTATGATTATTAAGATAATTAGTGATTCATGAGCAGTGAATGACATGGCAATCAGCATATGCAACCAAAGTTTTAAGCTAAATCTTCAAAGCTTTGTGCTTTGCACTCTGTTTCCTTTTTTAATGATAGCTGAAAACAGTTGAAGTTGACAGGATCTTTTGATCTTGTAAACCTTATGATTGAAATATATTTCAGAAAATAAAGATGTATCCCTTTATTTAAGAACAAATCTTTGACAGAAATATTTAAATTGGGTATTTTACTGAATTGACCTGCACATGTATTGCATAGTTCCCTACATAATGAGGAGGAGCAAAACTTCAATTTACCTTCAGTTGAATGTTGAAAGGTTTTTTTTTTTACCACCCCCCAAAGCTGGTGTGATTTCATGGTCTTGAAACAACTTTGAGTCAGAAAACTTAGCAATTTATTGTTGATGGGGGGGTACACCCTGTGAAACAGAAGTGAGCTGTAGCTCATGAAAGCTTATGCTCAAATAAATTGGTTAGTCTCTAAGGTGCCACTAGTACTCCTTTTCTTTTTGCGAATACAGACTAACATGGCTGCTACTCTGAAACTCAAGCATAGTCTCAGATAATCAGACATGCATTGCTGTATATCTTGTAAAACCATCCACTGTGGAAGCACCATAATTCATTTTTAAAAAAGTGTGTTAATGCTAGTTTTCTGTATCTGAGATCAGGACTGAATCAATAGACTGTTTCTACCCTTTAAAAATTACTAATTCAAGAAGAAAAATATAGTATAGCAAATAGAATTTGTTTAAAAAAGTGTGTTATAATCTACCAACGAGGAGAGAGAAATATTCCCATGACATGTATCTAGATGGAAGGAAATAGGGGCACCTGTGTGTCATAGGTCCTGATTCGGCCAAGATATTTAAACATGTAACTTGCTTTAAGTATGGGATACATGCTTATGTATATTGCTTAACTGGGGCCTGAATTAAGTCATCCTCATGCCAATGTGTCCTGTTAAAACTGTTGGAGTGAAGTAGACACTAAAAGTTTTCTAACTGGTCAGATGCAACTCTTTCCCCATGTCCTTATATGTAGTAACATTTAGTAGCTACAGAAAGGGTATTGGATCAAACTAAGCAATTATCTTTGTTTTATTTTTAAACAGATAAATGTTTTTAAATAGGTTTAAAATGTTTTCCTACAGTCAAAGCACAGCACTGGTGAACATTAACTCTCAGAAGACAGTGCTGATCCAATTCCAGACAAACAATTAAGAGTCCTTCATGGAAATCAGTTGAGCTTTTGCAGAAATGCAGAGATGACCTGAGCTGCCCTCACAGCTAGCTGGAAGATAAAATGCTTTTCTAAGCCTGCCCCATTGACCTGGAATAGTCCTTTAGCCAGAAAACGTGACCCCCGGGTTGCGTCTTTCTACTAATCAGCGTAAAACTGTCAAGTGCCCTTGGAGAAATTTGGGTCGTGACAGTTCTTGAGTTTGTTTATTCTATTAGGTCAAAGAATACCAATCAGACATTAGCCCTTGCATCGCAAGTTTTGATCCCACTGGTCTATGATGGAAGACTCTGTCAAGGCACTAAAATGTCCTCTATGTTCTCAGTCTTTTGTTGCTGGCACTGTAAAATATTAATGGTAATCAGCATTTCAAGAGAGATCTAAGAGGCAGCGAGCAGTACTGGGCCAAATCCTGGGATGTAGCTCATCTGCACAGAGCGTAGTTCAGGAGTTTTTTGTAAAGGTGGCTTTAAAGTTTTAAAGGTGGCTTTGCATCCTGGTCCCCACTCTATGCAGAGCAATTCTGGTCCCTCTGCAACAAATTAGGGACACTTAGGACACAAAACTTAGGGATACAAAAGCTGCTGGTAGGATTGGCATAGTACCGTAGATTACTAGTCATACTCCCTTATATCTGGGCTAGATGTAGCTCTATTACATATCCAGAGGAATCTCCAGAGAAGGGGGACAAGTGCATCCTTCATGGCCTGCCCATACCTTCCTTGGCTTGTCCCTTATCCGAGATATATCATGGGACCCAAGGATAGGGCTCACAATGTCCAGAGACATATATCTTCCACCTTCTGTATGTAGGGAGAGTCGCGTGTGGAGGGCCACTTCTGTATATAAATCAGGTCCTTTAGTATCTCACATTCCACTGCATGATAAAACTTGGTAAAATTTTATATTTTAATGGTGATCCCTACACATAAAGCTTGGATGAAATGATATCTCCTAGACATATTTCAAAGCTTTTTTGTTTTGTTTTTCACAGACTATACTCCGCCCTCTTCAAGCTTTGTGCTCTTTCCAACTTCAGCATGGTGCCCAGATCCATCACAGCAAGGAGCATCTTCTTAAAAATGGTTTATATGACAAGCCCATGCCAAAGAATAAACGCAAGCTCAAGAGAATGGAACTCTTAGTGAATAATGTTAAGATCTAGAAAGACTGTACACACAGTAGTATGGATTTTTTTTTTTTTGTAACTAACAAACACAGTTTGATATTGGATTGTTCCAAATAGCCATCCATATGGTAATAGACCTTTTAAACTCCTGTATTCAAGAGGCTTCCTGTCAATAATGCCAACTACGGTAATAGGCAGCATGTTCAGTTTTGTTGTTATACTAGGCCAGGTGTCTTTGTTCAACTGTAGAAGGGAGGAAAACTGCAGTGAATAATTTAGAGCTATGTTGTCTCTAGAGTCAGTGTATGATCCCCATTAAGACTGGATAGATTTACTTTGGGGAAGCTTTTTCTCGGTACTGAAGAACAGGCATTCTGTTTAAGTAGGTAGTGGTAAGGGTAAGGATCCAATATTTGGAAGAATATTGAATTACTTCTCGGCATTTTAATTAGTAATTACAATAGGGTATAACTATAAATTCCTATATTAGTTAGTTAATCTGAACATAAGGAAATGTGATCTGAGTATTTTTGTTTTAGTTTAGTGTGGCATTTATTTCTTATTTTACTAGTCCGAGATTTATATACATATTATTGTGCAGTCGTACTTGCTTTGAGCCTCTCCGCAGTTTTCAAGGATTTTGCTTGGCTGAGATATGCCAATATATTTTGTTCAGATTTTAATAAAAAAGAAAATATGGAAATGGAGCTAAGCTTTTATCTGAATTGTAGACCAGGTTCTGCACTCCATACTTGGGCAAAACTTCCCTTGTCTGTGTAAAACCTGTAGAATTTGGCCCAAAGAGTATATGCAGTATACCACATCTTGTTTAATCCCTTTGATTTTGGAATTTACATGTATTCCTGCAGAAGTTTCTGTTGAAACAGTTTCAGAATTGAGTAGTCTAGCCAAACTGTAAAAATATGTTTGCAGATGCGTCAAATCTTGTGGCGAAATGATTCTCTTTTTTTCAGCAATCGTGGCGCTGCAGTGTTGCTGCCAGCAGTAGAAGCACAAGTGAAGACAAGGATCAAATATTTGTATTTGCGTCACGAAGCAGGTTTTCATGATGAAAACTAGTGATATTAGGGCTTTACCACAGTGAAAACCTGCTTTATGAAACTGTGGTAGTAAAAGTGCCTAATCCCTGTCCTGACTAGTGGTTGCGCTATAGGTAGCAGCAGTGCATCTATACTGGATAGTAATTATTCTTAGGCCTTCTCTACACTAGGGTATTTTTCCCATAATTTATGACTGCTGCTACCACTGGACTTTTAAGTGGTCACCAGTGTTTTAACAACTGTGGATTTGTCTATATTAGGAAAAGAGATCAAGTTTATGTCAGGACTAGCTAAGATGTTTGCTAACCATAACCTTTTCTGTAGTCTCGATGCAAATTAGATAAATCCCATGACTGTGGCTAGCACTGGTACAGCTGAACTGGTGAGAGTGACAATGAGAAATTAGGAACAGAAAGACTAATGTAGACACCTTTACTGTAGAAGCACATTTTCTAGTGAAACAGGCAAGAATTCCTGTTTAAGAAATGGAGGGTGTTCCCACTTATCTTGCTGCTGTTGTTTCAGTTTGCCTTGTTTCAGATTCAGTGGGACAGCAGTGCATCCTTCAGTTTACACTGTGAAGGTTATTTTCCCTAACAGAAGGGTTAAATATTTCTTTTCACAAAATGTAAGTTCACATTCTGGAGAACAGAGGAAAATCTGTGTTAATACTCTAAATTCACAAACAATTGAAGTCTTAGTGGATCAAAGAAATAGTCTACTTAATTGAGTTATAATCCTACATGAAGTACTTCAGTTCAGTATGTGAATTGAAGGTTTTTTTCAATTCTGCATAAGGGTCAAATTTTTGAATGTTTATATGAGAGATTTTTATTGATGTGAATAATCTCATTGATGTGGGGCTACTCCCATGAGTAAGTATTAGTTAAGTGAGTGATGTTTGTAGGATCAAGCCCTAATGTTGGACAAATGGATGTCTATTGCAGTCAAGTCTGCAGTACTGTCTGTACCATACTAGTAGATCACTATCCAACAGTTATTTTAAAAATGAAAAAAGATGAAGTTATTCGTTGTGCTTCAGTTACTGGAACCCTACGATTTTACTTTCTTTGAGGATTTTGTAGTGTTCAATTTAACTGTAACACTAATTACATTATCTGGGATAGACATTTAGTTGCTACAAAGTTGTCACATGAAGTTACATCAAAGCTGATCACATTTTTTTGTTCATTGCCATTTTACTAAGAACTAACACTTAATTTGATTAAAGCTGTTTTATCTTCTTCCTCTATGTTAAAATCCAATTCTGTTGCTGCAGTCCTTTCTTGAAAACCAAGCAGAATATATTCTCAAATAATATTTCTTCATGCCTTCTATTCCTTCTGAGCACCTTTTCCATTATTTTTTTTCTGGGCATGATGAAAAGTGTTTGCACAAAGACATTTAGGGCCAAATTTTCAGGTAGGCCTCAATCAAGTATCTTTTTTTTTTTTTTTTGGGTGTAGGCCCACTTTTTGCACCCACAAATAATTGGGTTTTAAATTAATTACAGGTACGAATAATAGACGTCTAAATATCTGATTTGTATGTGCAAAAAGGTGTATAACTATCACTTCTTCCTCCAATTTATTGCGGACCCCAAAATACAAGCAGAATTATTTGCAGATATAACATTGTGCATGTAAAGATAGAGGCCACTCTTGAAAACCTGGCCCTTAATCTATTATTCTTGTCAACAGAATTTTGATTGGTTCTATATACTAAATTGTTACTGTTTAATTTCAATATTTTATGTTACATGACCGTGTCATGCAGGTTGATCAGTTGTAAGTTTATTTTCAGATTTTTATATTTTTGATGATACTGTATAGCTTTTTAAACAAAATTATGTGTATTAACAAACATTTTCAGAATTTAACAATCTTGTCTTCAAGCCAATGGGGATCAAACTTGAAAGTGATATTTTAATGTATGACAGTTATCTCAAGAAAAGGTACTACCCAAATCTTAACTCTTTTGATTGTGAGAGAGCTTGAAGAGTTGTTACCTGCTTTCTGTAAGAAATTTTAATTAGGATAAGTTTATTTTGCATTTTTATTATTTGCTTTAATGGTCATCCACTTTTCATTTGTAAATTAGCAAAAGATTCTTGGGAGTTTAAAACAGCAGTCTAGCATAGAAGTGAACTTCTAAAAACATATTTCATACAGTGTATTTTCTTTTAATGTTTGTTGTTCTCCCCTTGTCAGCTTTGCACTTTTAAATGTTGCGGTATAAATACAGTCTGCCCTCTACGTTCCACTGAATCATACCATGGGGAATTGGTGACATTGCCGTATATATGCTGACAACATTGATATCAAACTTTGGTGAAAAAGATTGTAATGCCATAAAATACTGTAAAGTGACAAAGTTTCCAGTACAAGATGTTGGATACAAAAGTTGTATGTGATTGCGTAAACAATATATTCATTTAAAAAAAAATAGGTATTTCTGAACCCTCTTATTTTTATTTTCTCTTTGTAGAAGAATATTTCTAGAAAGTTTTCAAATTTCAAGATAAAGTTGGTCCAGGAAGAGCAGGACATGCTTTGTTACCTGCAGGACTTAATACCCATTGCATTCTAACATCTTACACATTCCAGGTGTTGTCAAAATATTAGAAAGCAGTTAGTGTTTCATTAGTTTTCTATTTTAAAAAAATGTTCATATGATTTGATAAAAGACAAAATTTTATTTTTAGACTAAAGGATTTTCTTCTGTATTGCTAAAATGGATTAAAAAGATGTTCATACTGTATTGTTTTACATTTCTAAACGAAAAAGAAATAGAATTAAAAAACTGAACTCTTTAAAAAGGTATCTGGGTTCAGTAATTTTCTTCTTGAGTAGCATGTGGAATTCTTTAACATCTATATCCATACATTCACATAAAATACTTTATACTTTCCATTTACACATGATACTCTGAAACATGATAAAACAAGATTATCATGACTGTATCATTAGTCCTATACAGCCAACACACATCACATAGGCTGCACCCACAGTGCAGTGTAAGACAAATCCTAAATCATGCCCTTGCAGTATGCCTTGTGTGTAAGAAGGATGCGTGTCAACTCCTGCACCCCCTTAGGAAAGGAAAGGGGTAGGTTTGGTATTGTGACCCATTGAAGGCTACATGGATCCCAAATCCCTGTATGTCAGAGATGGAGCAAAATAATTTCTATGCCTTCTGGTTGTGCATCCTGCAATCAAGTTATGGTAAGATTTTTGTGGGGGTGAGTGAGTGGGTCATAGTATGGTGACAGGAACCTCAAAACATTGGAGTCATGTCAGCAACTGCCCAGTACTGTTCAGTAGGACAGTGTTGGGACTCTGGAACCCCTTGGAGTAGAGGAGGGTTCGTCACCAAGGCTACATGTATATAAGTGAGTGGCGAGTTGTGGGGTGCTGCTTCCACGACTGGGCTGTAGCTGGTGGAAAGCCTGACCTGTACCGCTATGGCCCTTCCTGAATGGTTTCTTCAGCATTAGGCTTGCCCTGGCATCTTTGTTTTATTTGAACAGAGCAGGCCTGCGTGACTGCTTTGTCTCACTGGTGTGGCTTTGGATCCATTAATGCTTTCTTTGGACCAACTTCTCTGTTTCTAGGTGGATGCTAAGGGTCAGCTGACCAGTGTCCCCTATATGGGCAGCTGTGTTCTTCATTGAAGAGCTGATAAACTATTACAGCCTAAGGTTGCCGGGTGTCTGGTTTTTGACCGGAAAGTGTGGTTGAAAGAGACACTAAAAAACAGACATTAAAAGTCCGGTTACCACGGGTTGGGGGAGAGGAGGAAGTGGCAGCCTGTCACCCAGCCCTGGTTCATAGTGCCTGGACAGTGTATGCAGGCCAGCTGCAGGATTGCACAAGTCCCTCTGAGCATGTAAGCAGCAATTCAGAGTCCTTACTACCTGTCCCAATGAACCATGTGCTCTTCTGTGGTACAGTGCAACTGTGTGGAGCAGGTGACAATTGTGACCATAATAACCAAACTCAGGGCCCTATCCTGCAAACAAGCACATGAGGGGCTATATACCTGAGTGAAATTACTCACATGAACAAGTGTTTGAAGGTTTAGGTCCTTGATGTGGATTTTTTTTTTTAATGAAGGAAGAAACGCTATAAAAATACATACAGGTCTTTTGAAAAAGAACATGTAATGTAATGACCTGGTAGGATATGACCCGTGACAGGTGAGCTTGGCATTCTGCGACTAAGGAAGCAGAACGTGCAACAGAATATTGTTGTGCCACCTCAGTCGACAGCAGAAGGAAATGTAGACACCAGCATGCCCATGCAAGTTTCCTGAACCCTACATGTGGAACTGATTTCCAGTCATAGTCATACTCGAATATGAGCCACAGTCATTACATTACATTGCCAGTGTTTAAATATCATGTTCTAACATTACTTTTTGTGTTTCTAAAAATAGATTTTTCTTCTTTTAGTTTCATGTCTCTCTTTTCCCACAAATGTTGTAAGGATATTTCAAAATACAGTTCTGGATTAAAGAAAAGGTAAGTTTCTATGTAATTTTTAGATAGCTAAATTTAAACCTGCTCCAGCTCCACAGTTGTTGTTAATACTCTTTAATGAGAAAAGAAGTGATGCCATGGTGTGTAAATTTATCAAGTTATGATACCTCATTATTCTGGAAAACAATAATCCTCTAAGGGATTTAAATTTTACATGATAACCACTTCCCTGTTCTGTTCAGAGCAGGGGATAGGGATAGGATTTAAATGTGTGCTACATAACTAATTAACAACATCTCATTTTTCATCTAAATTTACATATTTTAACCTGGACAGTGGACAAATAGAAAGCTGGAAGCAGTAATCAACAATTCTTCGATAAAGCAGTATTGTGGGGAATTCTAAGTTTAGATGAGAAAATCCAATTAAATATATATATTTTTTTCTCACAGAAGTTTGTATGTTTGGACTGGGAGTAGTGTGACGGGGCAAGGCCAGATGGCTATAGAAAAGTAGTGGGAGATATATTAGCTCCAGGCTAAACAAATCTATCCCAGTAAGACCAGGATAAGTGACATGGCAGCTGCTCCAGGTCAATTAAGACACCTGGGGCCAATTAAGAACTTTCCAGAAGGCAGGGAGAATACTAGGTTGATTGGGACACCTGAAGCCAATCAGGGGCTGGCTGAAACTAGTTAAAAGTCTCCCAGTTAGTTAGGTGGGTGTGCATGTCAGGAGCTGTGGGAGGAAGTTGTGCTGTTGGAGAGGCTGAGTAGTACACACCATATCAGGCACAAGAAAGGAGGCCCTGAGGTAAGGGTGAAGTGGAGCTTGAGGAAGTGAGGGCTGCTATGGGGGAAGTAGCCCTGGGAATTGTACATGTCATGTTTCTAAAATGTCAGCTACCATAGCTGATACTATTAGGGTCCCTGGCCTGGAGCCCGGAGTAGAGGGTGGGCCTGGGCTCCCCCTCTCCCTTTGCCCCCTGATTAATCACTGAGACTGGGAGACAACAGAGACTGTGCAAGGAAGGATAGCTTCTCCTCACCTCCCTTGCTGGCTTATGATGAAAATGGCTCAGTAGACTGTGACCCTTGTCTCTAGAGAGAGAAGGGTTATGTGGAGGGTCACAGTGAGCCTCTGAGGCTAGCGAAATCCGCCAGGAAATGCAGGACCCACGGAGGCAAGGACAGAGCTTTGTCACAGTAGGTAAAGCAGGTTATGACTTTTGGTTTTTCACTTGAGTATAATTACACAGTACAGAAACGTTGTCATAATTTTTAATTAGAACACATTATTCATGGATTTGCTAATGGAAGGCAGTGATAGTCAGTGATGAGCTAAAAACTGAACATTTGTAATTTTTAATACTGATCTTTTCCTGTGCAAAGGATTCAGTTTCCAAATGTAATTTTCTTTACCTATTTTTAAAGGGACAACAACTGGTAGTTAGCATTAAAATTGTCATTATATAATGCAGAAAGCTTCTTGGATTCTTTTCCTTCTTTGCTTTATATTGTTAATGTTTTTTAAATATACTGGGTTTTTTTTAAAAGGGCAAAATTCTCTCCTGTGGCCCAGTTGATAGACACAGCTCTAGTCCACATATATCTGCATTTTACTGAAATTAGGATATGTAATTCAAGAATGGATTAAATAGTTAAAGAATGCTCCTGTATTGCAAAGTTTGGCTACTAATTTACAGGGAAGAAAACAACATGATCAGTAGAAGACTCTAATTTGGGACTACATAAAGGACCAGGAAGGAAAGTACTCTGAGGACTGGGGCTGAATGTTCGAAAGGATATAGGCATGTCACAATGACTAACTTTTTGGTATCTGGAAAACTCACAAAGCTTGAGTTTAGACACCTACACTCCTATTCAGTGAAAGGGGAGAGACTGGTAACTTGCACTGTGAATCACAAAAGTTAACAGGCTAGGCAGGTAGCTGCCTAAGGTAGCCAGTGGAAGATGCTTAGAGCCCTGCGCGGATACAAAATGTATATCCACAGATGCAGATATAAATCGGTATCCGCGGAAGTTGCAGAGCTCTACTGGAAACCGCAGAGGTGAAAGCAGTACCATGTTGGGCCACTGCTCCCAGGAGCCAGCACCCCATGCCAGCAGCTCCTCCAGCATGGATGTACCGCCCTCAGCCCCATCCAGTGGGGTGGGCGCCAGCTCACTGGGAGCTGTCCCGGGTCACGCTAGTGCGTACTCACACACTCCCAGACGGGATCCCATCCACGCAGCGATCCGCATCTCCTGTGCGGGAGCATGTGAGCCGCTTGCAAACACTAGCGTGATCAGGGACAGCTCCCGGTGAGCCTGGTGCCCACCCCAGTGGGCGGGGCTGGGAGTGGTACAGTCATGCCGGAGGAAGTGCCCGGGCTGGGCGCTGGCTTCTGGGATTGGCAGCCCAACATGCTGCTGCTTCTGCCACTGCAGTTCCCAGTAGAGCCTTGCAGCTCCACGGATACTATTTTATATCTGCAGATATAAATTTTGTATCCATGCAGAACTCTAGAGATGCTGATGACCGGGGTATGTGCTAAGCCCTGTCAGGAAATAGGCACTGAAGTCCAGACTGCAGGGAGGCACCTATCTGTCTGCAAGTCTCAGCTGGGAACTGCCTTTTGAGTTAAGGTGCCTATGCTGTTGGGGTGGGAGGAGGTGGTGCTTAGCACACTTGCGTAGTATGTGGGAGACCCAAGTTCAATTCCCCACCACACCCGCCCAGAGAAAGGATTTCGATTTCGGTCTCCCACCTTGCAGGAGAGTTGTATAACCACTGAGGAATGGGCTATCTTGAGGAGGGTATCACTGTGGAGCTTAGGTAGCAGATAGGCACCTGGGTCCTGAGAGGAGTCAGCAGTGCACATGCTCAGAGGGAGACACCTAGGTGTCTAGGGAACTTTTACCCTGAAAATGTAGGCGCTGAATGAGTTTAAACACCTATAGGGAATAGATGTTGTGATACGCTGTACCACATATGATACCCTGTATTCACACTTTTGTAAGATATATTTTGTATAAAATATGCCTGGTCAGGTATCATTTGAAAACTCATAATCTGCTGAATATTATTATCCTGTTGAAATGTGTGTCGCAACACTGCATGTAAACTTACGAAATTTTGCTATATGATTATTACTGAAACGTTGTAGTTCTGGGTAATGCCCACAAACCCATTTTTCAGAGACAAAGGCACACTGGCAGCCCCAGACAGGCAATGTAATTAGTGGATGGCTGGGCATAGCATTCATTTTTTAGCTGGGAGTGACTTTGCATGCTGGTGGTTGTGAGTGAGCAGAGCCTGGCAGGGGGCGTGCTGTCCATCGCAAAACAGTGTAAAAGGCATTTTAGGCTGGAGAGCTGAGAGGACCCAGCCATTCAGATTGCACCCTGGGAAATGTCACATTGGGTCTAAGACCTTAGAAGAGAACTGAGTCAAGTTACAGAAACTCAGAGAGGCTAGGCCAAGGTAATTTGTGCCTGTTGCTCTTCATCTGCTTGGGTTCTTGGCATTTTCATCGTTAAAGCTGTGATGTGAATGTGTTTCTCATACCTTTACATCCTATTGTCTTTGGTATATAAAGTTAAAAAGAAAATGAGTGTTCTGAATGAAATTCACCCCCATGCAGAGGACCAGCACAAAATCAGTCATCATTTTAGTCCTGCTGAAACTTAAAACAGGCCCTTGTGCTGGCACTTAGCATAAGTGTGGATTTTGTCCTCTGAAACTGTGGGTGAAATCTTGACCTACTGAATTTGATGTGAGTAACTTCAACAGAGCCAGGATTTCACACTGTCTGTAACACTTTGAGTATGTTGTGTCACATTTTTAGCCAGCAGCATCCATAGGAGAAAGACAAACCGGTTCCTGTACTATACCTGTTCATATATCGCAGGCTTTCACAATGAAAGTTCAATCTGCTAAAATAATGTAGACTGCTTTGTGTATATTCAGCCATACCACCTGGTATTCATTTCTTAAATTTCATTTGGAGTCACAAGTACAGTATTTGCTTTTGTGATAATCACCAGTCACTGGAATTAAGGATTCTGCAGGTAGTTGTATTCTATCTGCAGTATATTAAAATGGCAGTCCAAATCTTTCTACTTCCGTTTATTCATTCTTTTCTTTAGGAACCTTGTCACTTACACAGCAGCCACTCCATGGAAAAATCTAATTTTTTCCCCTCTTTAATTCAGGATGCTACTCCTCATGTGCGGCAGATAACAGACATCCATGAATAAATGCCTCAGCCATAGTTTCTTACGAAGAAATTAATTTTCTTTTTCTTTACTTAGTGCACTTGATTAACATCAGAATTTAATTCAGGGAAGGAAATAAAATATGTTGACATATTTTTCTGCAGAGTGGTTGTTCCAGTTAAGTTGATGATTTCTAAATGAAAATGTCTAATGAATAATTCAGGCGAGACAGAAGCAAGTGCCTGACTGGCCAATGGCTCCAATGAGGAAATCATGTTGGAACCAAAACATCCTATGTAAAATGCATGACAGTCTTAATGCTCATGTTTAAATTTTAATAAGTTTGGTCCTGTAGGATAGTCGGAGGTACAGTAGGCTTAGGTTCTTGAACAGTAATTTTGTGAGCCATTATTGGAGCTGTCATATATAGTCTGTTTTAGAATAGAACCAAAAGGAGATGCACTGCTTTGCCGGAAGTGGCACAAAATGCTTCTTGACATGAAAACAGAATTGCCTCGTAAAGTGAAACTTGGGCAAAACTGTTCCACTGATTGGAATGGCATGAAAATAAAAAAATCAACGCTCCATTTCCAACTCTGTCCACATGTTCTTCTGCAGACGTGGGCTTTGTGGTGCCGCTACTGTTAAGTGTGAACAACTAGGAATGTGAGAGATTCATAGACCTCAAATATCTTTTAAAAGCTGAAATGGATTGTGGAAGCTTATGCAAAAGTAACGCAGTAAGAGGGAAAATGTGTTATTTTCCTGATTTATAAAGCATGTTAAATATAGTCAAAAAGACATTGCTCTAGCCCCAGAAAACAGAGACTCCATTGCACTTAGCCAGCCCAAATAAGGCCTGTTCTGTCTGTGGCCTTTGGGTGCTATAATAATATAAATGATTAATAATAATAGTGCCTTTCATCCCAGGATTTCTAAGCAGTTTACAAAGATTACTTATGCCTCCTAGCACACCTGAGAGTCATAAGTGCATTTATATAGCTATTTTAAAGATGAGTAAACAGGAGGCACAGATAGGTCAAGGGTCCAATTCTGCCACCCTCTCCTTGAATGATATCTTGTTATGCCAGTAGTCCCATTCAGTAAGGGTGACAGAGTTGTCCCTACAAGTGGATAGTGGACACAGCCCCTGTGCATTGGTAGTGTGGGGTACCAGGATCACGTAGATTCAGATCCACAGCACCTCCTCACTATGGCCTTTGCACTGGCAGGGTGTGATAAATGAAGGAGGGGTTAGTTCCCTTTTATGGACACCCAGCCAGCCAGTTAGCTATAAAGTCCCTCTTGATGGCTGTTCTCTGCTTGTTTTACCTGTAAAGGGTTAATAAAGTCTCCCTGCATAGGTAAAAGAAAGGGAGTGGGCACCTGACCCAAAAGAGTCAATGGGACAGCTAGAACTTTTAAAAATTGAAACAAGACTCCCTCTTTGTTTTTCTGTTGTTGCTCTCTGGGGAAGAGGGGAACGGCAGCAGTTATGCTGTGAGAAGCTAAAGGCCAGGAATAAAAATAATCAGAATCATACCTAGAAATTGCTTATTTGGAAACTCAGATATGTAAATAGATCACAAAATGTGTAGAAAGGCAGGATTAGGTTTATTTTGTTTTTTTTATGGCTTGTGGATTCCTCTGTGCTAACCCCAGATGCTTTTGTTGCTTGTAAGCTTTAAGCTGAACCCCCAGAAAACTATTTTGGGTGCTTAATTTTTGGAATTAAAAAAATCTAGCAATAGCCTGAGTTTTCAGATTTCTTTTTTTTAATGTACCTTTTTTAAGAACAGGATTTGGATTTTTGTGTCTTAAGAGGTTTGTGCACATGGTTTTTAGTTAGCTGTTGGCAACAGCTGATTTCTTTGTTTTCCTTTCTCAGCTTCCCCTGGGAGGGGGGGAGGTGGGCCGTGAAAGGGCTTGAGGGTACCCCTCAGGAAAGAATTCCCGAGTGCGCCTTCCTGGGTTCCAAGGGGTTT